ACGCTTCACGCCCTTAAGCTGTCTTTATAAAAGTTGCAGCCAGGCTTATCGTCAGTGCTGCCAGCTTAGCATATTTCCGGCTAGATTTAGCCAATTTAAAAGTGAACTGGCCAATCAAATATAAACAGCTATGCAATTGCAGCATATTTGCAACTGTATCTAGCATATACTCAAGCTCATAGACTAGTTGTAGCATATCACCGACATGGGCATAATATTTGATAGCCAATAGCCTAATATTCCAGCAGGTTTAGCATGTTTTACTCTGCTTTTATCCACAATCCAATTTATTACACAGTTTAACAGAGATCACAGCTAAACTCAGATCCTATACCAGTACTAAACTCACTCTTATAAAATACTCTTATACGCTTTGCTTGCAGGCCTGCATAGAGCGCATGCTGAATCTGACGGATCACTTGAGACGCCTGCGCGTTGATCGTTATGAATATGTTGCCATGAAGGTGATTGTGCTGCTGCAGTCCGGTAAGTGTGCGCCTTCAGTTGTACCGACAAAGGGCTATTACTAATTGTTGCATATTGTGTTTAATTATCTAGATACCACGGAGCTGCACGAGGCGGTCAAGGTGCGCGAGTGCCAGGAGAAGGCGCTGCAGGCTCTGCAGGCGTACACGCTGGCCCATTATCCCGATACGCCGTCCAAGTTTGGGGAGCTGCTGCTGCGTATACCCGATCTGCAGCGCACGTGTCAGGTGAGTGTGTGTGAATGTGAAGATGTTTCTAAGAGAAGCTAACTCTGTCTTTCTCTCTCTATCGCTCTCTCTCTGCATCTCCCTTTGGCTAACTGCAGCTGGGCAAGGAGATGCTGACGATTAAGACGCGCGACGGTGCAGACTTCAATTTGCTGATGGAGCTGCTGCGCGGAGAGCATTGACAAATGCTCTATAGGACCATGGAACGCTATCGATGTCGCAGCTGGGCTTAAGGCAAATGGACGAAAAAAACAACAACAAGAACAACAACAACAAAAATGAAATGAAACAAGTTTTATATGATTTAGTAGTATTAGTATATCTATGCATAGTGTTAAGTGCTCTATGTGTAAGCTCTGAAAACATGTGCCTAAACGATGAACCCATTGCCAAAGCAACAACAACAACAACAATAACAACAACAACAGCAAGCAGAACAACAACATGAGCAGCAGCAACGAAATTCTGAGAAACTAAAACTGATAGCATTTAAAAATGAAACGAAAAGAAAAAAAAACACATTTTTATAAGCAGCCAAATTATTAAAATAAATATACAACAAATGATGTATATATGTATATGTATACAATTATGTGCTCCAAGTGTTGCATTTGATGTTGTTGTTGTTGCTGTTTTTGCTGTTGTTGTGCTGGCAGAGTTTATTAAAATTATATAAAGTTTTTGCTATATATACATAAAATTACATATATATATATATGTATAGAAATATATATAAACGGATTATGTATAGTAACTAAAGCACACATGGAAAATGAAAAGACTTAGAAATTTATTTAACTTTAAATATTAAAACAAAAGAAAGAGAAACTAAAACAAAAGAAGGAAAAATCAAATTTTTATTTTTAGTTCAAGTAAATGTTTTTTATATGCATATATATATGTATAGTATATGATATCGAAAATCGAAGTGAAAATCGAAGAATATTTTGTAATAATCAACAAAAAGAAATGCCAAAACCGAAATCGGTTTACAAGAGAACTGCTAGATTTTCCAACTAAATATATATATATACATATATGTATATAACTTTAACGCGAACGAGTAAAAAAAAATCCATTTTTAAATGTTGTAGCATTTAGTTTTAGTGCAATTTCACACATGTCTACTTATATATCGATATATGTATATACATATATATATATATATCTCAATGCAGATGAAACTAAGAGGTAAACTCGATTGAAATTGCCGCCGCGTGGCATAAACTATTCCAGTGATGCTAATTGTTGCATAAAAAACATCAACAAAACTACATAAATCAAATTTATAATTTTTGTCATTACAACAACAACAACAACAAACACAGCTATATGAATATTTGTAACTGTAACTGTATGCGTATTTGAATTGTATTTTGTATTCTTTGATTAATGTTTACATATGCATATACATGCATACATATATATATGTATGTATGTATATGTATATATATATGCGTGTATATTTTGTTTTACTATAATTCTACTTAATAGCTGAAGCAAATCCTGTAACAGGATTTAAAACATTTACCGATTACATACAGTTATTTCTATATAGTATATACATATATATTTTTTGTCACCGCATAAACAAAACCTAGATTCGATATAGCCAGCATAATGCCTATATATATATATATATTTATGTGTATGTGTGTACGTTAACTATATGTAACAAAACAAAAAGAGAAAGAAGAAAAAAAAACGACAACAACTTCCAGCCCCACCAGCAAACAAAAAACGTAACTATAAAAAAAAAAACAATTCCAATAATTTATATAAATGAGAAAAACCATAAAAATTGAAAGAAAACAGTTAAGGCCAGGTGAGGTATTCCTCAATATTCACGATCTTTTCTATATACACATATATGTACTATATATGTATGTGTATACCATATAAGCTGTGATTCAAGCAATGTTGAGATTAAGTATTCGCTATCACAGTAAAAAAAAATAAACACACACACACTTACACAAAATCAAAATTAAATTGTTTATTTGCTAGAGTAACTAATCATTGTCCATTAAAATAGTAAAGGGAAACGACAACTCGGCTGCTACCTGGCCCCATAAACTTAAATGCTAAACTTAAATGCAAATAGTTAAATGTTAATTTAATGCAGCAAGCTCATAACTAAATATCAATATACAATATACCATAGTTAAATGCAATTGTAAACTGATAATCAAATCAAAATTAATTTATAGTTATCTTATCTTACGAAACCCCCTCGCCTTTCCCACCTCCTCCCACAACAACAACAACAACAACAACAACAAATCGAAAATTGTAGCAGCGAACAAGCATACAAAAACAAAAAAGTCTTGAACCCTTTTTGCAGCTTGTGCTTAGATTTTACTATTTAAGCTCTTCGCTTAAATAGTTAAAGTTGCACTGAAACAAAAATGATGTAAGAAATTAAATTTACTTGTAATTGTCAAAATTATTTAAGCTCTAGCTTAATTCTTGTGCTTGTCTTTTGCGCTCGGTGCTACGTTTTTCATCTACTCATCCATAGTAAATATTTAATTTCATTTTTTGATAAGTGTAATAACGGAAATTGAAATGAAAAAAAAAAACACAATTAAATCAAATTAATTGTCAATGCAATATTTTGTAATAAACTTTTTTTCAAAAAAACAAAAAAAAAAAAAAAAAATTCTACATATGTATAAAAACAGTTGTATTTTCTTTAAATTATTCCATTTTGAAGGGCACAGAAAATGTTGGTTATCCTATGTTTATATTTTATATAATATAGTATTAGTTATATTTTTCATATTTAAAAGAAAATTTACTGGATTTTCGAAAAATTTGAAGATAGAAAAATTTATATATCAGATGAAAAAGAAATTATTTAGATTTGAACGAATGAAAGATAAAATTAAACAATAATTTGTTCATGAATTTCATTCTTTTTTTTATTTTTTTTTATTTATTTTTTATTTATTTTTTTTTTGTTTATTTTTTTATTTATTTTTGTTTATTTTTTTATTTATTTTTTTTATTTTTTTACTATTATTTTTTTATTTATTTCATTTTTTTCACAATTTTTTCCCCTCTTATTTTTAATTCTGTGCAGGGAGATTTATGTTTCCTCTTCTTCTTCAACTGGATTTTTTGCTATTATTCACTTTAGTTAAAACTATTTTCAAATTAGCACCACAAGTAAATAATTTAATTTAATTCCTGAAAATATTTACTATATTCTTGGATTAGTTCTTAACTTTTTTTTTTTTTTTTAATTATTATTTTAATTATGGTCTCCTCCAAATCGATTTCATTCGGCTGATTCTTACACTTTAGAGCTACTATTACTTATAAATAAATTAATTGAGCAGGAGCAGGCGGGGCTGTCATTTAGGCGAGTTTAAATCTATGAAGGGATGAATGATACAGGATATATAAGAGGGATTTTTGTATATTGTATCATCTATCTACTTACTGGAGTACTGGCTGAGATTACAGCTGGTTGTCTTGTTAACGAAATTGAATATCTGCGGATCGGAGTCGCCATCGATGGGCATTTCATAAGGAGCACCGGAGCAAGGCATCAGAGCACAGGGCATAGGGCAGGGCATAGAGCAGGGCATAGAGCAAGCCATCTGACAGGGCACTCGACAGGGCATCTGACAGGGCATTCGACAGGGCATCTGGCAGGGCATCTGACAGGGCATCTGGCAGGGCATCTGGGAGGGCATTGGGCAAGGCATTGGGCAGGGCATCTGGGAGGGCATTGGGCAAGGCGCGGCACAGGCATAGCTACACGGAACGCTGGGCGTAATCTGAGTCGCAGAGCCCGCACACAGATGCATCCCACAGCTGCTCGGTTCGGGCATCGTCACGCAGGGTGGCGCAGCAGAATAACTAAAGTAGGGAATTATAAGAAATTAATTAACTGAAATGAAGTTAACTATCTTGGACTTACCTTATGGGCGGCGTATGGCTCATGCAGTTGCTGCAGGTGGAGCAGGCCTCGCAGCTGTTGTTATTGCGGCAGGTGTCGCACTTGGGAAAGTGATTGAATGAGTTGCCCGGCGCATTGAAGGGCTTATAGGACGTTGAGTAAACGGTCTGATGCTGCAGCTCCACAGGCGCAGCATTGCTGTCGTTGTTGGAGCCACCGTTCCTGCTCATGCCAGCAGCTCCAGCAGGAGCTTGGCATGCACCCTGAGCCATGCCGAAGCCTAGGCAGGGCGGCGAGGGGCTGGTCAGACAGTTGGGAAAGCACGGATTTTGCGTAGCCAGCACCTGCTTTATGAATCCCTCAATATCGATGCAGTTGCTGTTGCTGTTATCGGCTTGAGGCATCTGCGCATAGCTTAAATTGCTCGGAGCAGGAAAAGAGGGTGGGCCGGAGGGCGGACAGGCGGGTTGATAGGAGGGTTGCGGCGGGAAGCAAGGTGGCGGCGCATAGCTGGGCTGCGGCTGATAGGTGGGCGGTGGCTGGTAGCAAGGCTGCGACGTCTGCCTGCTGGACATGGCTCGCAGATCAGCTGCGGGTGGGCTACCACAAGTATTCCTCGTGTTTGGGTTGTAGTTGTAGCTGCCCATCGGATCCGTGTGGCCCGCTGCACTGATGCCGTTCACCTGCTCTGCGCTCTGGGGGCAGCTGAAGCCCCCCGTGGCGTGCATTTCACAGGCATGCTCCATCTCGACGGCTTCGCTGTGCTCCTGGCTGAGGCTATTCGCATCCGAAGTCTGATCTTTGCATTCGCACTCCATTTGGCTCGAGTTGGTGTCGGATGCATTGTAACAGGGCTTGCTGTAGATCATGGATGCGTTCGGGTACGCCTCCGATGGGTATCTGTTGGAGTTGTTATCGTGGTAGGATCCGGCTACGTGGCGCTGCTGCTGCTGCTGCTGCTGCTGCTGCTGCTGCTGCTGTTGCTGCTGTGGCTGCAATTGTTGTTGTGGCTGATACATTGCTGGCGCTTGGTATTGCATATAATTATAGTCCATGCCAGGAAACGTCTGAGATTGAGATTGCATGTACTTGAAATATTCATCCTCTGACATTGGATTATGATAGGAGCCCAAAGCGCTGGACTGGCTAAAGTGATTGGCATTACTAAGAGACATGTCCATGCCCATGCCCATGCCCATATCCATTCCCAAACTATTTCCCATTTTTGAAGCCGTTTCCAGATCCATTCCCAATGCCATGGGCAAGCCCATCTGCTGGGCATAATATTCCGTTGCGCCAATCTGATCCGCCCCCCCTAGTTTTTTATTTGTATTTCCACAACTCATCGATCGCAATTGATTTTTTATGTTCGAATAATCTATGGAGGACGTTTTTAATTTCCTATATATGTATATAAAATACTCTCTCTAATCTCTCAACTTTCATATATTATCTTCCATCTTTGATATCTGATCTCAGCCTTTCTCCCTCAAATCACCTTTCAATATCTACCTCAATCTTTCTCTCACGACACTCTTACAAATCAATATCTTTCTCACTCTCGCTCTCTCACTCAGCCTTTCTCTTTCCCTCACTTTTCGGTTTGTCTAAGATCTTCTACTTACGTTGGTATTCCTTGCCTTCTGAACTATTTGGACTACATTTCTCATCGAAACCTTTTTCAATTTCACCAGAATGCATACGGAAAGAAGATCTATAAGAAGAAAAGTCCAAGAGTTAATCAACCACTTTAACCAGCTGCAACTATGTTTGCCATACGATTTTTCTTCTTTGGATACCACTGGAGTTTCTGTTACGCATCTCGTAATATCTGATCCCGAAATCTTCTGTGCATTTACCGATGCGGAGGAATCATCTTCTGGTTTCTCTGTACTTACTGATGACGAAGAATTTACCGAAGTTGAGGAATACTCTACAGAATTCTCAACCTTAACTTCATTTTCTACATTTCCAACCTCTTTACTGTCCTCGTCAGAGTTCTCACTCTTAGCTTCCTTCAGGGTGGTCGTAGATGAGGTGTTTGTAGCTGGTATATAGGTCTTATAGATCTCATCGATACTCTCAATGGCATCCAGTCGAATTGCGTTCTCCTCTCGCTGGGCCGAGCTTAACGATGTTACATCAATGATATTCATAGTGAAATACCAATACCGACCGAATCGCTCGTCAGATCAACCCAACCCTCGACTCTTTGTCTCACCCATAACAAGAGCACCACAGAGTGAATATACCCTAAATTTTGATAGGTGCTTTGACAGTATTTTGTCTTTTGAACTCTGATTCAATACAAATTTTTCGACTACTATGATCTTATTGCTTAAAACAATATGAATAATAATTTTTAACAAATTTTAATTTATCAGGATTTCTTTTAAGCTCGAACTATTACCTATTAAAAATATTTATGTATCTAAATATATGAATATTTTTAATATTAATAGTTATTATATATTTTAATATTAATAGTTATCAATATTTTCAAAGCGTAATATTCTAACATTCATAATTATTATTTATATCAATCTTTTGATTTTATATATTTGAAGTTGAGCTTAATAATTTATTATTTAATTAATTTATTATTATTGTATTATAATTATCCTCTTAATGTATTATTTTTTTTTTAAAGAAGCCTCTATCTGCTTTAAGGAATTTCTTTTGTAGAGGTTAATAAGAGTTGTTCTTGGTTCCGTTTGGTATTTTCCATAAGGAGACGAAAATTTAATTTCCGCCTTGGCACGCTGCCGTGCTTTGTTACGAGGGAGAAGCTAAGGCGGTAGGCTTCGGGAAGAAGGCTGAGGTGCGTCATATTTTATTCTTTAAATTTCCTTTAACTGCCAAGCCCCCGTGCTCACGCACACACGCGCACAGACAGCGTCGTCACACACGTGTGGTAAGTGTGAAGCTCTTCGGCCTTTCGCTTTTTTCTTTTTATTATACCCTTGCAATGGGTCTTGTAATTTTATTAGCCAACATGCAACCCATAAGACATCAAATTTTTATATCAAATAATATATTTTTATAGCTATTCAAGAGTTTGGCAAGATGAAGGCGACCGAATGCCTCTTGGATGTTTATTAAGCAACTGGATTTTTGCCGGTACGAATATACGTGATAGTAAATTCCTGGGGATATAAAAATTTGAATGCCAAAAAGTTCAAATGAATAAAAATACTAAATTATAAGCCGAATTTTAAAGCAAAAGAACTTGACTTCTGGAAAGTTTCTATCAGAAAGAATTTATCATTTTTTAAATAAAATAATAAAAAATTTTAATTTATAATTTTTTTATTAAATAAATTACATATTACTATTTTTTTTGCACTTTCCCAAAATAAATGTTGCTATAATACTTGTTAGGATATGCAATATTCGTCGGGCCAATTGATTCACCTTTATTGGTCGGCCGTTGCCTTCTTTAATTGCGCTCAGGTGTGTGCGTATGTTCCTGGGGCGTTTAATTGAATTTCCTGAATTTTCGGAATAATTTTTGGGCATCAGCTGCTGCTTATTCTTATCTTATTGTTTATGCAGTTAAAATTTAACGTACATTAGATTACGAAACCTGTTGAAGAGTTGAGAAGTCGCCTAAATGCTGTCTAAACAAACAATCGCAATATTTCATGCCTGTTTGCACCTGTCCAAGCAAGCGCATCTCCAGTTGGCTTAAAAAAACATTTGTTGGCCAGGCAACCAGTCATCATTATCGTCAGCAGCTTGGCAAGAAATTTGCATGCCATTGGCTACTTTGGCATGCGATTGAAATGTTAAGTTGCAAAAGAAAAAAAATGACTGATTGATAGATTGATTGATCGCCAAGCAGATGCAGGACGAGCTGTTGAAGCTGAGCAGCAGGCGAGGTGAGGGTATTCTGGATTAATAATATATCTTCCAGTTGCTCCGGTTGCTGCTGCATGCTATTATGTTCAATTTAGACACTCAGGAATTTAAAGCCAGTTTAATTGATGCTGTAATTGCTGCACACTTAAACGTTTTTTTGTTTACAATTTTTTACATTACGGAACTAAAACGAGTTGTCCAGTAATAAGTGGAAAAACTAAAGCCACATAAAGTTAAATTACCGCTCTATCAAATTTCTATGAAAATTTTAGAGTTTAAATTTACGCGCCCTTAGAAATAAGTTAAAATGTCTGGCACCACTGCTGTTAACAACAGCAGCAGTTAAATTCCAATTGAAAACGAGCACTTGTCATTAACAGTTTACATGAATGCTGACTAAAAGTAAGTACTAAATTAATTAACATGTATGCTTCTCTTGCTTTTAATGAATATTGTTAAAAAACTTCTAAAGCTTTCATGCATTTTTAAAATCAGAATTTCAACAGCTATTTAACAGGCCCGCCAAGCTGTTAAGATTCACAGAGTGTAAAGAACTTAACAGTGGTACTAAAAAATCCCAAGTAATGAAATACCGAATGTATCAACAGCTGTTAATGCAACATGCGCCAGCTAACAGACCGATGTTAACTAGTCTGTAAAGAAATTTCCAACCGTGCGGGTGGCTACGCGCGTGCCAATCAGAACACCAAACAAGAAATTGGAACCTAACAATGAGATTTTCGCAAAATAACACTTAGATCGTAAACAAGAAATATACGAAAAGTTTAATATTAAAATAACAACAAAGCGTGTTAAGCAGTGTGAGTGCAAGGTGTGTACAATATGAAAAAATTAAATGCAAAATGCTAAATACAGAGAGTCAAATGCAGAAAGGCGAATCGCAATCACAGCAATAAAAACAAGTGTAACACACAATATTAATGTACGAGGCGTGCGGCCTGCCAGCGTAATAGTGTGTGTGTGTGTGAGTGTATTAGAGTTTGTTTGCGTGCGTGTAGATGTGTGCGTCACCTAAATAAACCAATTCTAATTGGTGAGAAGAGAGCAAGAAGCGTTTTTTTTTGGCTGCGGCCAAAAATCAGCTGTCTGCTTTATGCGTGTGGTGTGTGTCTGTGTGTGCTTGAATGCATTTGGTATTGCGATGGTGTGCATGTGCTTTGGCGTGTATGCTTCTGTGACTTTATGTGTATGTGTGTGTAGGCCTATGCTAGGCATTTGTTGTTGTTATTTGGTGTTAAATTTTGAAGCCTGCGTTCGTTTCTTTTTCTTTCGCCTACATATTCTGCGCTTATCTACTTTTTCAAAGCCAAAGCCAGAGCCACAAAACTTGTTTCGTTATTTAGTTGCCAATGGTGGTGGTGGTTGTTGTTGTTGTTGTTGTGACTCTTATTGTTGTTGTGCGACGCGTCACGCCTTTTGTGTTTTTAATCGCGCAATTCATTCATGAGACCCACAGCAGCAGCGACAGCGCAGCAGCAGCAGTAGCCGCAACAACAACAAAAACAACAGCAACAACAACAGCAATGGCAGCAACAAGAGCGGCGATCGTCTGCTCAATTTAGGCCGCGCGTTTTCAAATTTCTTTTATTTTCACCCAAAAAAAAAAATAAAAAATTGTGAAAGATAAAAAAGAAGAAGAAGGAAGCAAATATATCGAACAAAAGCAAAATCAAAAGAAATCAAATTTCAAGCTTGTCACAGCGTCAGCAGCAGCAGCAGCAACTACAAAAAATAACAGTGACAAAAAGCAAAAGCAACAACAACAGTTATTGCATTTGCCGCTCTTGTTTTTGTTTTTTGCTTTATTAGTGAATGTGAATGTTTGTGATGTAAGTTTTTGTATATTTTGAAAAGTATTTTTAAACATTTGGTGTTTTATTTGGGTTTCTTTCCGTTTGTTATTCGTCTCATTGCACTTTTTCCGCTTGCTATTGTTGTTGTTCATTTTACGTTTGGCATTTGGCTATTTGCAGTCATTTTTAATTTCATTTCGCCCTGGCTGACCGGCTTTGTATCACATAATATACACATGTCAATGCGAAAATAACTGCAACAATAAAAACAAGAAGCGGAACAACAACAGTTACTAAAACTACCGTTTGTTGCTTGCCCACGCATACGTGAACCTGTTAGATTGGCTACTGTTAAACAATACCCTGTAGCAGGACATTGTAAGAAGGGTATTTAGTGGATGATTTTGTTTGTGTAATGGGCGAATGATTCAGTCAAGCATTTAAATAGCAATTATATTCTAAATAAAAGTTAGTTTAAATTCGAGGGTATCAGTTTATTAAAGTGCCTAAAAATAAATAATAACCCATAAATAGAGTTGGCTTTAAATATATATATTTGTTTAAACATAACATATATATGTATATTTAAATTTATATATATGTAATCAAAAATGTTATTCAATTGCTGCCGAACTTTTATATCTCATTTAAAGTTATTTTTTGCTTCAATATCTTTGTAGGTAACAAATAATTTCGATAGTCTATATATACGAAAGCTCGAAATACTCTGACCGACTTTTTTGTTGTTGTATATATAGTGTTATTTATAGATATATATTGAACTGGTTTTTTGAGTTTGTGTTTTTTGTTTCCATATCGAATCTATGCCAGCATTATTAAAACCTGATTCCATTGACAATGGGAATTCCGGGCATAATAGGTTTGTTTTGGATTTCAACAAAACGTTAATTGGAAATTAAAAGTTTTTTGATGAATTGTGACATATTGAATTTTCCAGTTTATATATCAAATCATAAAACTATTTCATTTAGTGTTGTTCTTTAATATATTAAAAAATTATAAATGACATTAATGAATTATTGTTATAAGTTTCCACTGAAATTTGTTAGCTTCCACAAATTATGTATTCATTAATAACTCAATCATTTAATTTCCATTTGGATATGAGGAACGTTTTCCGTGAGCCACATTTTCACAAATTAAGCAAGTTGATTTCGTTTTAATAAGCTAATTAATAACTCGTAAAAACAACATAAAACGTATTCATATGCCATTTAAATTGTCAAAAAACATATTTGTTGAATGGCCAAAAAGTATATAATTTATGCTCGAAGCTGTTAAAAATAGGAAAATAGTCGAACGATTGCTCAGTGGACTGAAAGAAAAAAGAAAAGAGAGAAAGAGAGAGAGAGAATTTAGAAGTGTTCGTTTTTTTATCGTGTTGATAGTAAATTAAATTTTTGAATATTTTGTTACGTTTAGTTTTCCATAATTTATTTTTGAAGACTTTCAACTGATTT